CAGGGCCTCCCCACCCTCACAGGGAAGAATTTCTTCTGCATATCTAACGTAAATTTTCCCTCTTTCAGTTTGAAATCATTCTCCCTCGTCCTGTCACTGAGGAAAAGTCCCTCTCCAGCTTCTCTGTAGCCCCTTCAGATACTGGAAGGTGCTGTGAGGTCTCCACACAACCTCCTCTTCTCCAGGCTGATCAATCCCAACTTTCTCAGCCTGTCCAGTGACCTGGTGTCACATTTTGCACTGATGGTGTGGGGCATTCACATGACCTTCCCTAAGTGTTTGGGAACATCCTAGCTCCACCAGCCAATGCTGTAGTTATGGAAAACATTCATGCTGGTCGGGGTCTCACCTGAGGCAGAGGAGAGTGGTGCAAGCTGTGCTCTGAGCAGGCTGGAGCAGTTCCCAGCTGCAGTGTTTCCTTCCAGCACGGCAGATTGGTCACGAGCAACATCAGGCAACGGAGGCACAGGCAGAGGAGGTGCCCTGGAGGCAGCAAAAAGGGTGTGAGGATGAACCAGAAGACAAGGCAGGGCACTATGACCAAATACATACTCTTCTACCCTACAATGGGCAGATCCTACATCACTAGCTGGTGGAAAAAGAAAGCAGTGGTTGATTTAGGTGTGCAAGGAATGCTGTCTTGACAGTATTTGGGGAAGCAGCCTCAAGTCCCCAGTGTAGGACAGGCAGCAGGGACAATGCAATGAAATAAGTCAGGTGGTCTCCAATCTTTAACTTAATTTTTCCTCTTTGCATTCTGTTTTCTCACTCCAGATTGCCACAAATATATCCCTGTGGAAACTAATTTCTTCCCTCACACATTCACTCGCTACCCCTTGAAAGACTATCCTCTCACATACGCCCTTCCCTCCCCAGTAAATATCCCCCGTTCACCTATGAAAGGTGCTACCTTATATTTGTTCAAAGAAGCCCATGACTTTGTAAGACTGATCTAAGCAAGCAGCACTTCCATCACCAAGTGAAAATCCATGGAAATGCAAAGCAATGGTGGGAAATGCAATGGGCTCCTGACCATTCACAAAAACATAAAATGAAGGAGTGATCCATAGACCTTTCTATCTCATCCCTTGTTCTCCACATGACTTTAGCCATGGCAATCTCAACAGATTTATTTCAAACCCTCTTTTAAGAGGGTCTACTACAATTTGCCAAGAAATCTGACGAGCTACCAAGGTCCAACTCGATTGTCAGCTCTCCATAGTTTAAATGTAAAGGGGGAATGGCAAAGGAAAATATTTAATTCATTAGGTACCCGTTGTGGAAAGATGAGAAAACAGAGTAGGTCCCCCACCCATAATCATGTGACAGAGGTGACGATGTTGGATGGTTTCTGTTGCCTTTCGCATTCAGTTTCTCCGATTTCCGCCACTTTACCCTGCGATTCTGAAACCAGCTCTGATGAATGGAAAGAAAAGATGCATTCAGGAAGGAAAACATCTACGCATGGGGACACTGGCAACAAATCAGCAGTGACTGCTTCCACACATCACCAGGGGAGCCCTAAAACCTTTCTTTGACAGAAAGGAACCTCAGGAAACCTTTCTTCCCAAGAACCTGCACAGTTCATTGCAAACAGAAAAATAATAGCAGAAAGACACCCCCAAACATCAATTTCCTTTGCTGCCCATGATTTTCAAGACAAAAGAGATTAACTCTGATCTCCTTAGCCTCATTTATCTAGCCATTATATGATTCATCTTAGGAAATGGGAAGATATGCAACCTCAGACTCCATGGCCATTTTGGGTGGGGTTGAGCAGTGTCCATCCCTGTGAGCTCTCTTCCTTGTCACCAGTGGCAGGTGTAGTCATCAGCTCCTCCCTGCCCCAGTCCCTGTCCATCCCTTTTCTGCACAGAACCCACTGTCCCTCACGCAGGCGTTACCAGGATTCGCTTTGGCATCACACCAAACGCAGCTGCAAGTTCCATCTTCTTCTCAGTGTCGGGATAGTGGTCTTCACAGAACACCTTCTCCAACTCTTTTAGCTGCTCTAGAAAACATGCGTTGTTCAAAGAGAGTGAGAGATGGGGAGCATGTGATAAACAAGAAAAAAAAAACAGAAGAGGGAAGCAGAAAAAAAACAGAACATTTTTACAATATTTAGAAACACATGAAAAACATAAAAGATTTTTTTTTAAAGTAAACCACAAAAATAAACAAAACTCTTCTTTTGCAGTAGAAACAAAGAGCACTGCTAGC